ACAGACTCCTCTCGATTATCGTCTGGCTTGTTCTACACGATTATTGTCCATTAGTTATCCCTGGGGAAGGGGGGACACCGTGGAACGTTATAAGATTGGATCCTTATAAGATTATTGCCCTGACGAAACATTGCTTTGCCTCTTCGTTTTAAAATTTATTATTTCTTTATAAGAAATTTTCATAGTTAAAAAATTATTTCTCACTTTTGCAATTATTTCCATTGAATTTCTCAAAAAATTTTATCATAAAGTATATGTTGTAAGTTCACTTTGCTTTTATTCTCTTCAAGTTCTTAATCATTCAAAATTAAACATTCCTATTTGCACTAGTGTGGTGTTTGCATATGGTGAGTTGGGGAATGATTTCTGAAGGTTAAACAATCGTGAATGCAATAAATCCACACAATCCACGGTCTATTAATCACATTTTGACGAACTATTGGAAATATTGGAATATTGGAATAATACACTCTGTCCTGTTAATAAACTTATCAATGAAGGAAAACGAAAAATACGGATACAACGAGACCTTCTGGAAGTCCGTATTGGTCATTGCGACACTGTCGTTCACAATGTGTACACATGTAACTTCAATTTTTCTAAGACTCTTGCGTCGTCGTACGTTTCGTAATTAGTTCTTTGTCGTAAATCATGAAGATATCTACGTGGAGCTGTTACTGCGGCACACGTCAGACTCAATAATTGTAAATCGATAAATCGTTGTTCTCGGTCTGTACGACCAATATGTGCTCCGAGCCGACCGGCCTCCGAAGTGTATGTACAATGTGGAAAAATTTACGAGATCGGCCGAAGGACGCGAAACATTAAACAGAAGATTATCAATCTTTTTTTCTGTTCTTATCGGTATCAATTGCATTTGATCAAAGATACGTAATAAAGCCCCGATAACGGGACAGAATGTAGCAATTGTGTTTGACGTTGCAAAGTCACTCTTTCCGGCTGTCTTTTTCTCGCGTACACCACCAGAGGAATGTGCACGTTTTGTTTCGTTGTGCAAAAAGATGGAACTTCGTATCTCGTACCGATGACGTTCACTAGTACAGAAAGTGTCGATTGTATCAGGTCAGCACTTGTTCCGATACGATGATCTAACGAGACTAATTGTGCGTTCGAAACTTTATCTGTTCTAACTCGTTACTAGGAAAGACGAGTCAACGTGCTTCGCCATATCTTCCGATGATTTTTCGTTTCTTTGTTTATTTAGCTGAAAAGTTCGTTCATTCGATTTGTCAGTAATACTTACAATAGTATAAATTATACATATATTACAATCTAAATGTCAACTGTATTCACATTTATTGCGTGAAATATGCATGAGCGTCTTTTAACCACTGAAGTCAAGTACAATCAAATATACAACTTCAATGAAACTTAGTAAAGATTTTTATATTATTCTTAGCTGAATAATATCTTTAAGATGAGAAAGAAATTTACATTTGTACTCCTAATTTTAAAAATTGCTTTAACGAATATCATTTTCATTGCACCTTTCTGAACGTTCAGGAATGAAGAATTAGCTAGTTAACAGATGGAACGAATTAGAACACAAGAGTCTTAACATTTTTTACTGGAATATCAAGTTCGCGTTGAACTTTTTCCATTGAGTCGTTAATTTTCTTTTTATGATGTCGTAGAAATTTTCAACGTGATTCAATTGCTACCGGAAGTACCATGTTAAACACGATCTAACATAGTTCTGTATAGAAGAAACCTAACTTGTTAATTAAAAGACAAGTTTTTTTGAAATTTTTGTTATTTTCATTTTGTAGCTGGTTAAACATAGACAATGCCAAGTATATACATTACTTCTCCCCATTCGATCGACTGAAGTGGCTTATACTTATACGATACGTCAGTGAGAATCGTCGTTTTGTATACTTAACATTCTACAGGGTGGTCCCTACAAAGTGTTACAAGCTATTTTCTTGGAACCTATTAAGGATAACGAGAAAATTCTTTTTTTCTTTTCACCGGAATCCTTTATACGACGCAGGAAACGGCGATTACGGTCTATCCGTTTTTCCCCCGTTAATGGTATATCATATAATTTCGTTACATTTTTACATAATTCCTGTAGTATTTAATTTTATGAATGCAGTAATTAATAAAAATATGCACATAAGACATATGCTATTATCACTGTATGACTTAATATCAATGTAATTGTTATTTCCAATTGGAGATTATTTGCACAATAATATAATGTGATTTTACTTTTCATATTAAAATTTTTAATTTATTAAATTTCTTTTAATTTACCTTCATGTTATTAAAATTTTAATTAAATTCTGTTTAAATTTTAAAATATCAAACTTAATATTTCCTGGGAATACAATGACACAATTCAGCTAAAAATATATTCTTCTATTTATACTGTTCGAAACTGAAAAATTTTTCTTTTTCTTCATCAAATTCTTACAACAAAGTATTAAAATGGTTGCAAATTGCAGAAAATCAAAATCTACAATTTATTTATGTTTATAAACCGATGAATTTCTGGCACAAGCCATCGTAACGTTATTTTCGTTCAAGTCTCTCGTTCGGTTGAATCATCATCCCGCGGAATGATCCAACCGGCACCCACGTATAAGTGGCAGAAAGAAGTGCGTTAAAAAAAAAGGCACTAGCTTAACCAATATCCGGTCTGAGGCTGAGCTGGTTTGGAAATTCGAAGGCCTGGCCTGAGCTCGAGCGTGATCAAAACGCCACGCAATCGGCCATATCTCTTCGGGCAAATAGTATACGCCATACTCGGGATGATTCTTACCGTTCAGATCGTATACCATCGAGGCCCTCAGCGACAGAATTCATTTGATAATTGAACCTTTACCAGGAGTCTACCGATGTATGCCTCGCGTTGCAATAGATTTAAACGATTTTACGTTGTGTACCGTATGATATTACTTGACAAAAATGATCGTTTTGTTTTGACGATACAGTTGTGATTCGTATCTCAGAAGACAGATGGTTTACTTAACGTAGTCAGTTTTCGAAAATGATCATTGTTCTGATCGTTTAACGGTGTGGTAACGTTTCGTGAATTTAAAACACAGATATTTATTATTACGCTAAGTATTGTAAAATCTAGGAGCTTGATTTCCATACCGGAAATCTAATTTCACTGTTTCCGTCGAACGGAAATCGTTTATATAATTACCGTTGTTGTTTGACCGGAAACTGAATTGAATATAAAGGTTTTCCAGTCTACAAAACTATTCCAGAAATACAAAGACGCCAAATTTATGTGTCGAAAAATTAAGATTTAATTTTTTATTCAAATCCTTACTTAAAAAAATGTCCGTTAAAATGCTCTAGTCAACATACGAATTGAAATAAAAATATTTTCTAATGATACGTTATTGTCATAAAATATGCTACGTGTGATCTGTGATACGTCATTAAGTGATTCGGTTTTCCGTATCTACATATATAAGTTTTCCATTTTCCATGCGTTTTATAATTTTGCATATTAGATTTCTTTGCTTCTTCGCGGAACAGTAGTGTTATGAAGTGTATTTCAAGAAATGACTCGAAAAAAGCAACACGTTTTGTATTCATTTGTGACAAACAGCTACCTATAAGAATGATACACTCTCTCGCGGTCATATCAAAGTAGTTACATACATAGGTGAGGTTATTTGCCCTTAGTTACCGGCGACTGTTCAAAACACGCCTGTTTCTGTTGCTAAGGAACGTTAAGGTAGGTCAAGGGCATGTGGTTTATATGAAACGAATATCTCGACAGAATCTCCTACCTTACGACTAGTTTTCGCCGATTGAAAACGCTGTTGAATATAATTCGACCTATTAAACCCAATCTTTAATCTAGGGAATTTTTCACATCGAAAAATACCCGTGTAAATGTTCCGTTAGGAAGCACATTGCCGGACAAGTGGAAAATTTCATCGGTAAGTTGCAACGAGTTGCCAGCACTCGAGTGATGTAAAAAACAGTAATTAGTGTTACAGATAGTCTGTTGTAAACGTACGGATAGATTTGCATGTATGACCGCGCGTCGCGGTTTAGGATGCCCACGTACGTGTCACGTAAAAACTCTTAAAGAAAATATTTATTTCCTGAGAGCCGTAACTCCCAAGTACTAATACAAGAATATTACACTGGTTAATATAACTTATAAGTATCGATTCCCAGTTCAGACTAACGAGCTGTGGAAATGCGGCAGTATTTATACATATTCGATAACAAAGAATTTTAGGTTGGGACGTGGTGCGTCAGTTGAATTTTTGGGTGGCAAATTCTTATCTGGACGCCTGTGTCTAGGGGTTGAAGTGACGTAAACCGGTGAAATTTTTGGGTGACAAATCCTTATTTGGACGTATGATGTCTAGGGGTCGAAGTGACGTCAACCGGTGGAAATTTTGGGTGACATACGCACTGGTGTGGCCAGTGACGCAGCTTTGCCTCGCGAGGCCCCGTTTTCGTTATCAGGACAGCGCTTCTACAAACTAATATCTAATATTCTACAACTATATCCCTTATTGCATCACTAACGTAGATTACATGTAACTCAGAAGTATATTGCTAGAAATGTTTTGAAGGCAGACGCAACAGCAATGAATCAGTAACACGGTCAAGTAAATTAATAAAATCCGTATTTGCATTATAACTAATGTCTTTGTGGTAATTTCGGGTAATAAATGATAAGACTTAAAAATACCGACACGATACAAGCACGTTCAGTACAGAATATCAAGCCCTTCCGTTTTCCCGCGTGCAGGGCGTATTTATTACGATTCATAAGGATTATAAGAAAAGGAGACATCTTACCGCAGGAAGGTCTATTGTGATTGACCCTCGAAAATTCAGTCACGTTTTTCACGAGCACACAAAAGCACGCGAGGGCGCCGATCCATGGGGACGGATTCGTGCGCCGATACTGTAAAGACCGTGAAACACGCATGCGCATCTGTCCTTTCCCTCCACCACTTTACTCACCGAGTCTATCGGGTTGATTTGAGGCGGCGACCGTGGCTTCAGTCCTTTGCTGCACTATGGCGCGGTCGGTCTGTGCTTGTTCGTTCTGCTGCCGCCGTCGTTTCTGAGCGGAGGGTCGGCCCAAAACGTTGGACCGTCCGTTGCGCGGGATACAAATCTCTCTGCACAATTCTCCCTTGTTCGTAACCGCTCAGCTCTCCAGTCTTTCTCGAAGTACCTCTCCGCAGTCCACTGCTACGGACGACGAGAAACATCCAGCACAACGACGGCTGGTCGGAAAACGAACCTGCAAGAACCGTGAAGAGACTACCAGCACCATCCCAGGTAGGGCCAACTGCAAGAAGCCAGGTTTGGTCCAGCGCGCGCTATTCGAAAAACCGATACGCCCGGAAGTTTCCGGGGATTCGCTTTTCCAGCAGACGGGCGGTTTATCAACAACGTTTTTGGGGGCAACTCGGGCTACGTCCGACCGTTTCTCCAAAAACCCAACCTCCCGTTCAGGAACGTACGGCGACACAACAAGAAGAACATTGAAAGGTAATTTGTGCTGACGCTGTTTCACACCGGTGGAGCATACATAAATATGCTTTTCTAAATAGAAAGAAAAGAGTCACAAATTGTGTGTGCGTACACGTATTATTTTACATATCGGCCTCGCGTGAGTACAGTGCAAAGTGCAGTGATTATTACCGACGCGTACCGGATCGATGTCAGCCTCTTGGTTATATCGTATATTTACACTGGTGCGCTTGCCCTGATATCCGTGCACCCCTGCTCTTGTTTTCCGATCGGGTCATTTACTTTTGTAATTGACAATTTTTTGAGAACTAAGAGATTCGGTTACTGGAATTGTTACAGCAAAACCATTGTCGCGAGGATCTTATCAATATATTAATATTTTATGGAAACACTTGTAATTTTAAATAATAGCTGTCCGCTTGCGTGTCCCCCCGAAAGATCAAATGTGTCAGTTGTGTGTTGTCACTGTCCTCTTAAGAGATGTCGGAAGTTTCGCTAACGCCGGCGCTTATCCATCGATAGGAAATTATGGGCTGCTTCGAGCGGACATATTAGGCAATTTATTTCACAGTATTGCGTCATGTTCGTGCGCTATTAATGCAACCGGTGCTCGCAATATCGCCGTGACAACTCTGAAACTCCGCCATTTTGACCTTACCGAAGGATATCTGCTATCTACTCGGTGGTGTGCGTGTTTAAGTATACGCGTGTTTCGACACGCGCTACCATGCGGACGCAATGCTTTACTAATTCGAAGCTCGCTATTTCGTCAGATTCTCCGTTCATTCAATAAACGCGAACAAGAGACGCTCACTAGATTCAAGGCTTCAGCCACCTCGCTGGTATACACATACATTGGTTGTCCTCTGCGTTCGAATATCCGTCCGTTTGTAATGTGTGATTCGAATGGAACGAGCGTTTTAAACAATTTTTTCAAGATAAAGACGACGAATTAGAGTCGCGGGTCGGGCATATCGAGTATCTTTCAAGGAGGTGGCAACGAATACATACAACTTCTCGCCACACACATCCCTGATCTTTGGAACGTCAAGAGTTTTGCGCAAGTGCGTTGATATCATCATGGCGCGATTTCGCGAATGTTTCGATAGTCGACATTCATTTCAACGATAAATTCGAGCAACCAAGTCAGCTTCGTAATTCGAAGTTCGGATTACGTGACCAAATTATTCTTTTCCGTTGCCAAGGTTAACTGCTCGATTTCGTATTATCCCAAGACCAATAATCAAAAGTTAAATGAAACTGCACGCTGCGGCGAATAAACATGACCGGTAACCTATAAGTTTGTTCTCAGTTTCGAACTCTTTTTATCTTTTGTCACAGCGAAATTTACGTTTTATATTACGAAAGACTGTATTTACGTACATATCTTCGAATTTCAACAGTCTTTACAAGGTTATATTTATTTACGTTTTTTTAAAATTACTATTGCAACAAACTATTTAATCATTTTAAACATTGACAAGGGACACAGTTTTTATATATACATACATATTTAACTTCAAAATTTAATTCAAAAATATTCGAACATATATGTACGTATATATATGTATATGCAAAGTGTATTTAAATAATACGCAAAATGAGGTAATAAACCATTTTTAGGTTATAGGCGATACGTAAGATGTGAACAAATCAGGGGAACGTTCGATAGAAATTCGGTTTAACAGTATTGACATTAAAAATGCTTGAGGATTCTCTTGCATCATATTTTACAATTTTTCTACTACCTGCCTTCCTTGGCTGGGTAGAACGTTACAGCGCAACAACCGCCTTATAGCGATATCCCTGACCTTACGGTGTCCCCTTCTCTATAGAAATTGTGCACAAGGCAGGACGAATGTCGAAATGTCTTGAAATTGTCCGTGAATCACATAGAGTTAATGAACGGAACTCTTGTCATTTGAGCCTCATTATGTATGTATACATGTAACTGGCTGTACAATGTTACGCGTTACAATGTATCATTGTGCTTTGTTCTGTTTCGCAAACCCAAATTGTCCAAAATGTATACCACAAATTTTCCGATTTTATGCAATAATTTCAAAATCGATCTTGGTATTGTTACTACTACAAAATATTCGTTTACGCAATTTTACTCATGCTCTATTTCGTTTGTATATGTTACAGAGCTTTTTCGTAAAAAGTGACCGATTGTCACCCACGAAGATCTCCGTCCAAGGACCCACCCGGGAACACGAAACAACTCTGCGTGGGCCCCCGCACAAGTGATATTCTTAACTATAATTATAATTCGTACCTATACACGCGTTTCGTATCCGTAGAGCTTAAAAGGGCGTTAATCGGTCCGTTTAAATCGATATATAAACCGTCGCCAGCTACCGTGTTGGTAACCTCGTGACGTGTGAAGTGTGTTCAAGGTTTTTCTGCTTTAACGGCCGACTAACAACAAACAATATTACGAGTTAGAAAATTATTTCGAGCTTTGGTACAGACACATGCGTGCGTTGTCTGGGACGAAAAATAAAAAAAATTACCACGACGAAAGGACCAGCAGTGTGGAAGGGAAGAAGTAGTAGTGTAGTGTGAAAAACGGTGACGTGTTTGTGAAACCGGCACAATATGAGAGTGACAGCCGCTAGCAGGCAGCATCCTCTACATCTGCAAGTGACCCGCACTAACAATGGAAAGTTCCTGGTCAGTCCGAACAATAATCAGGACATCAGTCAGCAGCCGACGAGTGACGAGTCGAACTCGGTGCCGGCAGTTGTCTTGCCTACTTACGAACCGTTGCCCACCGATCACCATGGACCTGCCGTACTCGGGGATAGGTACCTACTTCTTGGTCCGGCCGAGGGGAGCGCTCTGTACCGATGCCTTGACGTGCACACCGGTCGACAACTTGTCGCGAAGGTGAGTTTCGAATTTTCATAATAAAGATATCAATATTATTGATTTTAATCTGGTACTATAGCACGCGATGGTATTATATAGTAGCTTCGGGTAAGAGTCACTACGATAAATATAATCCGATACGTTCGGTATTATCAAAGGGGAAGGATCGAAAACCTCGAAGCGTGTATTTTGAATGGAAGCAATTTAAAAATGTAGAAATATCGATAATTATAAATATGTATATATTTAAATAATGTCAAATACTTAAAAACATATTCATTTATTAACGTGATATTAGTAATAGCTAGTGAAGAATTCACGTGAAAACAAAGGAAGCTATACGAATGTTGCAATATGTATTCAGTATAATTGAAGATAATTGTGCAACACTTGTTGACTACCACGTTAAATGACGTTGCACGTTACATGACTACTGCTACACTGACGAAACGAAAAGTTGCATGTATTATTCAAGTTATTCATACTTGAAATTAGGTACAGGCTGAAGTACAGTGGATTTCGCTTATATGGAACAATACTCAACGAACAAAACCTAATCGAATGTACCGTATTTACCTATGTGATACTCCGCATAATTGGGACAGCCGCTTAATCGTGCCAAAGGACACTAGTCCTGATATGTCCCACATAACCGGAATCCACTGTATTACTGTACTTAGTCAACTACTAATGAACGAACCAGCTATACCCTTTATATTTATAAAAGATTCATTAAAATAACCAATTATTGAAACAATGTGCTCTACGGCTAATTAGTTTACACAACATGTATGATGACTTACCGTTATATGAATGTCAGCGGTAAACCGCGGCAGCCATCTTTGTTTGGATTATATGCCTTTTTCTCCTACACGGAAAAGTTGCAATAACAAGTCGCGTAGAATGGAAGTAAAGATCATACTCGGAGAAATCTCGGAACTTAAAATCTCACCGGTTTACGAGAGATAAGAAGAGTATCTAACGTTAGATACCACACGGTCGTCGAAGAAAAATAGCCAATCGTCGATGTCGAAACGTTCCGTGTTTATCCTTGATAGAGCAAACGCATCCTGCCTTCAGGATATGTGTCACGTAAGACTCGAAGGCAGGTGTGCAAGAAACACGTCCAATAAAAGTTACGCGTTGTATCGATGAAAATCACCTTTCTAAACTGTCGCCTGCAGGCTCTCTTCGTTCCGTATTCAGGTCGACCGGGAACGAGGGTTCACGCGTTATCGGTCGATGCCACTTGATACGTAACCCCGGATGGCGAAAAGTTAGCTGGTCTGGTTTTATTTTGGTTCGCGCCGGATACGATTCATTTGCTTCTTGTTTACGATGATCCACGATTCTACTGGTCGATTACGCATAGAGCAGTTTCCTTGTATGGGTCTTACACTTTATGTAAGACCTTACAAACTCTTCACAATAATTCAGATAGTCATACGAAAAAGTTGTTTGTAGAACTTTTAAGAATAAAGTGGAGGTCAGTAAATAAATACTTCAAAACGTTACATAAGCTTTATTAGTTTTAGTGTCACAACTTGGATGATAAATAATGTATTCATCATAGGAAGACACACAGCATCTCAAGGACTAGCCTCTTTCAAATATGTCCACAATGATCTTGCTGTTCATTTGCATGCTTTCCAGTATAACTAGTAGCAAAGATTACTCAAGCACCGTTCTAAGCGAAAGTTATTCACCTTTTTATCAAGTTTTTCTTCATTATTCATTGTTGAATAGGACTATCCAGTTGATCCAAGTCTTTCTTCTGATTTATACCGTAAGACTCGACATTAGATCATTGGTGACTCACGTAGCACGGTATGGATTATCTCTCTCGTGGTTCAGCGATGACTTGTCAGGACCCCCTTTTTAAGAGATTAAGACTAAATAGCTACTCCAGACTTAGCCGAGGAAGAAAAAACACGTTACAAATGTGTTAACATTCGTGAATTTGATGTAAAAATTCTTTCATCTTTGTGTACCACGTGGAGCTTATCTATGGAATATGTTGTTTGTCGAAGATAAAGATCCGCGGATGGACAGGAAGCGGACGTTGAGAAGCAGAAACGGTGGTTTCAGTACTTTCCAGAGCGTGTCCCCCGACCGTAGATACGGTTATACCGGCTGGAAAAGGTAGCGGATCCCCTAAGTATCATTCCGGTGTCTCTTCCCGCGCAACCGTCGACCATTATTCCCATTGTCATCGGGTGTCGTAGGCCTCGTGTGTATGTCACTCGTTGAGAAAAGTCCCTCAGAATGTTGTTGCGTCAACCTTCACCGCATTTCTCGCAATTAAATCCCGTGGTTGTTGCATTTCTAATGAACATTGCTGTTTTAAGAACGCGAACCTTGGGGGTGTCGCAACGTTTACCTTCAACCGCTGGAAATTGTTTTTAAAGTCATACGTCGGACATTTAGACGCGCGTAAATCTGGAATCCTTACAGCTTTTTTTTTTCCTTTAAACGATATATTTTAACAGGATTGCGCCTTTATCGTTGGACTTGTAGGTCACTATTGATCGATTGGGAACAGGTGACAGTTTCAGTGTATCATCAAGATTTTGATTGAAATAGTTAAAATTTATTATGCTTCCAGATAGGGAGTTATCCAATTAAAAAATAATCGATTCAAGAATCGTGGGATGAAACTTTACAATTGAAATTCAGTTCAGATAGTCATTTTTAGAAATTACTTATTTTACGGCGATTCTCGAAAGTGCTGGTTTCCTATCTTCGAACGTTTGCTCTTTATGCAAATTCCTCCCGGAACAGATAAAACTGTTCACGGAAATGATTTACAGATGGACAGAGTTGCAAACAAGAAAATGATGGATCAATGTCGGCGATTCCTTGTAGTGTCGACTTGTTCCGATTAATCCTTTAAGACTTCTGTCTCACGCGTTATTTGTAGTCGCACAATGGTTTTCACAGCATTTCGTTATAGTCACCGGTGGAATCGTACTGCAATAGGTGATCGTGCGTTTAAGAAATCATTTCTTGTTAAGTTTCAAGCTTCCTGCTACATTTCCAATGATTGTCAACTTTTATACACTTTTATGAATTTTTCCGAATTATATTTTAATACCCACGAAAGAAATTATATTCATGAACTTTGCATCTTATCCGACTTAGAAATCTTTTTAGTTACCTTAGTAAGGTTTATATTTAAACAATATTCTTCATTAGCACGTGAATAATTCGATATGGTATCGTTAGTTCTTGAAGCATTAACACTAGAACTACCAAACCCATAAGAATGACAGATTGCAGATTTCTTATTTTACTATTACTGAAATTACAATGGTGCTTTTAGCGGAATTTATGTTGACTTTTAATTTACTATGAATTTTATATTATACTAGATTGTATTATATATTATGTACATTACGATATTGTACTATTTAATTTAGTGGACATGCAAGGCTGAGAGTTCTAGTGTTAATAAGACTTTTTGATGGTTGAGAACCGTTGTTTTATACAACACGTTGCAACGTCGTAACCGATCGCGCGCAGTCGTTACTTCCGCTATATAAAACCTTCCCAGGGTTGTTGACGTAACTGGCAGCTGTATTTCGAAGTAATATATTATTTGATGTTTTCGTGCACTTTGTTACGCGGGCAAATCTTCCGGGTAGCTGTTTGTGTACACTTCCAACAAAAACGGGGCACGCGCTCCAGAAAATTTTAATTGTGTTATTTATCGTGTTAGAAAGTTCAGCAGCTATTTACATTTCACGGATAACGTTGGAACGATAATTCATACACTTTGTAAACTTTCTTGCCTTACATTGTAGTCCACCTATCTTCGTAGTGCTAGAAATCGGCGGTAACAATTATAGTCACTTTTTTAGCACATCAGCTAATTTATGTCAAAATTTATTCATAAACTAATACAATAAATCTACTGTAATCAATATAACATATGTAGTCGGCTTAATGTAATGTAATTAATCCGTTGTATTAGAAGGATACCACTGTGCCATTTTATTTTCGTCTCTTGTAACTGTTGTTATATTGCTAACAATTGAATTAATGGTAACCCTTAACTACAGATCACTAGTCTCACGAATGAACAATTAGACGACTACTTTGTAACACTTTTAATAACCAATTGAAAGATATCTTTATTTTCAGGTTGTGATAGAGAAAGAAAAATTCAAATTTGTCTCCGAAACGAATACATAGTCTTGCAGTTGAGGGTTAAACTACACTCATATTACATACTTTCTAAATGTAGTGACTTCTTTGTACGTTAACATTTCCCTCCTCGAACCCCTATTACTTTTCCTTCAAATAAGAATTAAAAAAAAATAGTTGTTATGTATATTACTCAGGTCACTTTGTTGGATCATCATTGAAACTTGTGACTGTGAATTAAAATTTTATTTAGTGATTGGTAGTTCCTTAAAAGCTGATTAAATGACTCCCAGTAATTTATAGCATTAACATATACAGAAAGTTTATAACTACAGACACATCTTTCGGTCGACTTGCGCAGCGTACTTTCCACGCGCACGGTAATATATGCAGTAATTCGCAGTGCACATCATGGATGAGTTAGATAACAGGTGTTCGAATCGATCGTAAATACGTGAGCACGTAAGAGCAGCAGCTCGTGCACGGGTGCGAATTAAAAAAGCCTGAGAGCCACGCGCTGTTACGATTACAGTTATAAACCGAGACGGCGCATACATTACACGGGGCGCAGCAGTATGCAATTTCCAATGGCAGTTATACAATGAAACATCGAGGTGCAACGGTTCCCTTTTAATGTCCAACGCCATCGAAGCCTGCGAACGGGAAACTTGTTCCGAGATCGTCAACATGTCTAATTGGATTTGCTCTAGGACGTGGTTTTTTTCGCGATGATAGAATTGGATCATAATTGTCGGTAGTTCACCCACGGATCACTTTAATTCTTAACTCGAAGAATGGGATTAAACTGTTGTTGTTTCGTTGTCTCGTGTGCGATGAATTTAACCCTTTAACGGTGGAATTTTCTTTTGGAA